CTCATTTTCAGTGCATTAAAAGGAAGGATGTGCTATAAATAGAAAATATGTCCCTGTGTCCCTGCACCTTCTGACCTGAAATATAACTTAGAGAAATGCTAAAGTTCTGGAGCAGGGCACAGGTCATTTATATAAGTTTTTTTTTCCTAAGGGCTATACCACAAACACAGTCCCTTTCCCCCCACTTTTCAGTATCACACTCACAATCATGCTTTTGTTCTAAATATCAACATGTCTGTGATATGCCAGCCATAAATAATATATAAATAATTAGATAACTGCATCTAACTGTTATATAATTTCTATGAAGATATTGAAAATACCTAACGTGGTAGAAAACAGTGTGGGCTAATCATTGCAAACTGTTGTGCTGTGGCAAGCCTACAGACTCGATACAATAACATGGTTAATATTTTTCCGGTCACTGACTGTAAAAATGGATTTATGTGGAAGATCATAGGTCAAATTCTCATTAAAAAAAACTTTAATTAGAAGCCTGGTACAGTGTAAACAAAACGCTTCTCTGCAGGAGTCGCAGCACTTCCTTTAGTTTAATGAGAGCTTGTGTGCTGCTCAATAAACTAAGCTGACAGGAGTCAAATGCCACTATTTATGCTTCTTACACAATATTACTGCCTTATAGGTTTTTGAAGATGTGACAAGCACTGTAGACTTAAGACTTAATTCCACGAGACAGCAGATGTGTTACGATTAATATTAGGAAATGTCAAAACGGTAACAAAATCAAGTGCCTGCAAGTAGATACATTTGGGCTTATGATATGTGAAGAATACAGTCAACAGTTAATTGTCGCAAAATACATTTTATGATAATGGCCAGCTGAGAGTAGGCCTACATTATCCCAAAATAAATGATAATGTGTTCATAATGTAGTCATGAACATGAAGTAGGTCTGCAAACATTTAGTCAATGCAATTGGAAATTACCATTACACTTTTTGGAAAATAGAAAATAGTGATCTTTGACATTGTATTTTGTTGAATATCAAAGCTTTTTGTGTCTATTTGTTAATGAGGGATTTGTGCACATCAGTGTTTTTAGATTTGTAAAAAATTATAGTTTTTAAGAGGGCATCTTCCCCCATCTTCCCCTATATTTAAAAAAGCTACACAAGTAATGGTTATCCTGCATGTTACCAGAATTTTTTTATTTGTCTCATAAATGTGACACTTGTAGCTGAGTTGTAAAAGACTCAGCAAGGTTCATTTTGTTGGATATGAAAGTTATGTTCACAGCACTGCAAAGCTGTCCATTGCTTGAAATAGGATCCATACATGGGTAAGTTTAGTATGGTGATTCCAAAATCAAACTTGCAGAGACCAGCGGCGGTCCATGGAGGAAGCTGATGAACACTGTGAGCATGGAATGTGAGAGCACATGCGCCTTTGATGCACCTCTCTCATTGCCCAAAGGACTCTTAATTTTAGCCACCTCAGTGAGAGAAAGTGCGATTGCCAAGTTGAAAAACAATGGAAAAAAAGGAAAAGGAAACAGAAGCTAGCATATATGGGAAATGATAGTGAATTTAAGTTTTCAACACAACTGTATTTTAAAACCGTGATGTCTTAACATGAACTATGGAAACTATCAACTATGATAATTCACTACATCATCTCTACAGTTTGTGCAGTTAACGCAAGGGCAGTAGTTATGCAAAGTTAAATAAACTCTAAAACTAATACATCACATGCATTCAAATATATTGCAAACACTTGCCACAAACACGCTGTATGCAGTTATTGTCATTTGGTATTGACAACCCCCTCTGTTCATGTTCAAACAAATATATGAGGTAGAATGTTTCTTCCCTTAAGCAACATAGTGCCTTTTCATTTTCATCTCAATGGGAGATGTATTAGGAATGCAGGTCTTTAATACATTCACAGCTGGAACATTGCACGCACCAAAGCCATTGTGGAAATTTTGTTGCAGTGATGGATGGTTTAAACTAGAATGACACATAAGAAGAATATGTATTAGTCAATGCAAGCTGCATAAATATTTGAAATGCACACAAAAGCAGCCTTGAACAGTGTTTTATCATTTCTACTGCTTCACTAGAAAAATGTAACTGGTCACAAGCTGCACTCTAAAAGCAAGAGAAAAAATATCTCTCATATCTCATGATAACATAGAATCCAGCTATTCAGTTTAGTCCTAAAACCCGAAAGAAAATTTTAAGTTATGGGTTTTTAGAATGCTGGTTTATGATTTATGAGTAAAATAAGGTCTGTGTTTATTATTTGGATATATTTCCACATTTTGTTCTAGAACATAAATTACAAGCATACCCCAAGAATGAGTTTTGAAGTTTCAGTTTAAAAAAAAAAATCTAAACAAGGACAACTACCAGAAAGATGAGAATTTATGAGAACTGTTAGTCCTTTTTTTTTACTATATTCTTTATACACTTAAATGCCCATAACGTTTTGGACAAGATCACTTTCCCTTTATTGACGCATTTCCTATTGAAACAAGATTGAGGCCGTGTTGTGATCAGTGCAGTCTGACTGCAGTACAAATGACTCTTATGAGCCGGTTCTTTT